ATCGGATACGGAGAGCTTGGGTACGTTCATCGCCAGGACGACTTGGCTCATAGCTAACATATCCCAGCTCTACACTGTCTACCTCTCTCCCAATTTCACCACTATCGCCGAACCCCTCTACATCCTCCCAAGCTCTCGCAATCCCTTCGTGCGCCTCACGATATCCCGCGAACTACGTCTCGCCGCCGAAACCGAACTGCTCAAGTTCTCGAGCATTATCAACGACGAGACGCTCTACAACCAGGCAGACGAGGCATTCGTAACACTAGAGACGCTGCTGGGTAAGGACGACTGGTTCTTCGGCGCGCAAAGACCGGGCTTGTTCGATGCTAGTGTCTTTGCGTATACACATCTGCTATTGGATGAGCAACTGGGCAAGGGTTGGGTGGACACGCGTTTGCGCGACGCGCTAACGACGCGCACACGCCTGGTCACGCATCGAGACCGGATTCTTGCTAGATACTTTGAAGATGGGTCTTGAGTATAGGATGATAACCGGGAGCAGTAATGGGGTGAACGCTACACGAATCTCTCCTCAAAGTTCAGCCATGAACATCACGAAACAGCGACTACACGCCTACGCGAAGTCTACCTCTCATCAGATCTGTTCATGCCAGCTTGGAAGGACCGAACGCATGTTGTGTGAAGTTCGGACGTGGCGGACGCTGGGGGCAGTTTAGCGCGAGCCAGAACCCAGCAGATGCAGATGTGACTCACGCTACGGAGGGATGCACGACATATCGCCTAATTGGGCAATGCTGGATGCATGCTGGGCGTGGAGAGGGCGTGCAAAAGAGTCATTGGCTGAAGCAGGCTGGCATATAAGACTTCGCCAGGCACCGAGCAGGAAAAGCATCAATCCGCAGGAACTTTACCCCACTTCAGATCTGCAGTAACTGTTCGTCATCTGTTTCTAGGCCCAGCCAACCTACTGCCATCTACAATCAGCAACCAATCTTTCATTCCGCCTTCGAGAGCACCATCATCAACATGACACAGCCAACATCCATTGACATGACCTTCGACACGTCCCTCGTCGACGTCAACGCAGCTGCCAATACCTCCTTCTCGACCACTGAATCGGACTCGACCGTGGACGGCCAACAAACGTCAAAACGTACGCAAAACCTACAACCGACTACGGCTCCACAGAAACCTTCAACTCCAGTCCAACATATCCCAACCCAAGCCGCCTACGACCAATGGGCTGCCATCTACGACACCGATGGCAACATGCTGCAAGCGATTGACGATCTAGAACTTCAGACCCTCCTCCCAGACTTCTTATCTCAAGTCAAGAGCAGCACTGCGACAGAACAGGAGCTCCGTGTGCTGGATCTAGGATGTGGTACCGGACGTAACACGGAGAAGCTTGTGCGATACGATTGGAACGGGAAGAGCGTGGAAGTCACTGGTCTTGACTTTTCGCAGGGCATGTTGGATGTCGCTGCGAAGAAGCTGTCGCCGTTGTTGAAGGAGAATGATCAGCAAGGGGTGCGGTCAAGACTAGAGTGCTGCGACTGCTTTCCTACTGTCGACAACCCATCAGTCTCTCCGCTACCTGCGGTGTCAAACCTGCGACCCATCCATGCCGTTACTTCCACTCTAGTCCTAGAGCACATCCCGTTGAAGGATTACTTCGCCACACTGGCTGCATTGCTCTTACCTGGTGGCACGGCGTTGGTCACAAACATGCACGCGGACATGGGACGCGTCAGTCAAGCTGGTTTCGTTAACGCAGACGGTGTTAAGGTCAGGGGAAGTAGTTATGTTTATACTGTGGAGGAGACTGCTGCGGCAGCAAAGGCTGCAGGGCTTAAGGTAGTGAGTGTGAACGAGCGGGAGATGAGGAAGGAGGATGTTGAGGGTGGTGCTGTGGGAGAGAGGGGTTGGAAGTGGGTCGGCACCAAGGTTTGGTTTGGGATGGTTTTCAGGAAGACGTCGTAAGCTTTGTAACAGCAAAATTCGTAATATCATGAAGCGTGGTAGCTAGGAGGCATCTTCTCCTCGTCGTGCCCTCGCATACTTCCATCCGTATTCTGCGTCGAAGTTTTTGATCCACTTCTTCGCAGTTCAACGAGGTGCACTTCGTCATCCGCCTTTCCAATACCTTCTAGTGTGTCGTCTACCGTCCTCGCCATCGTTGTGTTGAACAAGCTTGCATCCAGCATGCTTCTGCTTGGCTTGCCCCTCTTCTTCGATGGCCGATTGGGCGTGTCGTCGTCTTCGTTTGGATCCGAGTTGTTTTGCGTCGTGCCAAAGCACTTGGGTACCAGCTGAGCGAGGAATCTTCGGAAGGCTGGCATGGATACGCATATTATGCCAACGTTGATCTCGAGGATGGAGTATACGCCGGACATGAGGTTGTCGTACATGGGATTCGTTGAGGTGGCGTATTTGGCGACGGCGCTGAGGCGGATGCAGGAAACTATGATGGTGCTAAAGGATATTTGTTAGTATGCAATGACATCGTGTCGAGTGGGTAAAATGACTTACATGCCACCGACGCCAAAGATCGCGCTGAGGAAGACCTTTTTACGCGAACTGAGCTTCAGCGTCATCAGATTTGGAATCGGTATCAGTACTATTGCGACGTCCAGGCCGATGTTGAACGCCGCTGCTACCAGGTAGAATAGATTCTGGTTTATACAGTAATCTGGTGTGCTCGTGCCATCCCATGAAGTCCATACTGCAGAGATGGGCCTACACGCAAACGTCATCGTGAATGCGAATGCGATGGTCCAGAGCACTGATATGACGATAAACACCCAGATCCATTTCCGGGTCGTCTCCGAGGGAAATATGCGAAGGAAGAAGAATAGGAACGCGAGCTTGGTGAGTCCGCAGCAGAGGAAGTAGGATATTTGGGAGCCGTAGGTCAGCTATAAAGCAGTCAGTAGCCATCCACACATTGAGCATCGCCTGCTTACCCTCAAAACCTTGTAGATATCGCTATGGGGAACTACCCAAGTATCTTTCCCGAAACCGAGCTTTGGTGTGTAACATTGTATCACCGTTACGGGGAGACACGCTGCTTCGGCTGCTATCGCAAAGACATCATCTAGCCCGAACGAGTTTTGGCTGATTGCGGACCACGTGCGGACGGTGACGGCGGCGAGAGCAACGGAGCCCGCTGTGATACCCGTCAAGAATATGACGTTGGATCGGTCGCGAACAGGCCTCTCGCACATGGTGGAAGTGACATTGACAGCAGCTGTTGTTCGCATCAAGTCAGCGCGGTTGATGTGAAGTCTGGTGGTAAATCTTACTGAGAGACTCTTTGACTGAACATGCGCCACCCACACAGGTCTGGATGGCCGCGTTTATGGACTCACTGTCACAGATACATTGTACATCAGTGGGTGCGCATGTCCTCTGGGCAGTGACAGCATTCTGGAAGCAATTTGCCTAGTACTGTCAGTGATATACTCTCATAGAAGTAAACGAGGAACCAGGACTTACTGCGCATGGCGGTAGCATGTTCAAGCCATCTTGTGCTAGAGCTGTATGGACAAAACTACTCAATGTTGTGAGCCCTATGACGAGCACCTCGTTCCACCTCATGTTGAGTAGTGTAAGAGAACCAAGAAGGTGAGCCACAAATATGACGATTTGTCGATCTTCGTTCAATGGTCATTGATACATATAGTATACGATGGTGGTGAAAAAGCAGAAGAAAGGCAGCCATGGCCGAATGCCATCCCGAATCCTGGGTATCATCAGCACGTTTCCGTACATCCTTACCAGCATCCCGGTATTCGATATCCCAGTTGATATTCAGGAGAATTTGTTTCTGCTTGACCTGCGTAGGATCCGAGGCGAACTCTACCGAGCAGGCTGCATGACAGACGTGCCGTCCCAGGCGGCTCGGCATCCGGAGACTACCGAAACGGTTAATGGGATCAGAAACCTAGCTGAATTGAGTCCTCGCCGAAGTACATATCGATGCGGAAGTTGTTTTGTGAAGATGTAGTAAGCCGCGTAGTGAGTAATCCGATCAATTCTTAGAACGCGTGGCTACGCCAGTGTACAAAGGCCCGAATGCCTACTACACGGCGTTGCCCTCACGACCATAGTATTCCTGGTGCTCTGGGAAAAAAGATGGAGAGGCGTTCAGGGTTGTGCATCCATCATCGCGGTTTCAGATCCTATTGGCTCCCCGCGGAAGTCCAGATATCCACACAACGTCAAATTGATAGTCTAGACGTTGTTGCAAGCTAAGAAGCGGCTCTTAGGCTTGCGCGTTTGTAGACTATAGTCTCATGCATCGTGATTATGCATCTCTGGCGTAATTGAGGCGGCATTGGGGGACGGTAGGTGTGTGGAGGGCTGGCTTCGCTTCGCTTCGTGGCAGCGTGAGGAGACTGTGAACAGACACACGAGTAAGCTGCGTCGACAGGCGACAGCAAAGTTGAAGAAGTCACAAGTCATGCAAAACTCTGGAGGCGGCAGGCGGGATAGGCGACACGGGACGGCGGCTGGGCCTGCTATGAACAGGGTGTTGCGATTAGGGTGCTGCCGTGGACCCCCTTGCAAAAGCAACCCCCATTCGGCCATTCCGAGCGCGGCAGCATCCTTCCGACTCCCCGCCACATGGCAATGAGAAAAAGCGATACTGGACAGTCTGGACACATCAGATTGAACAACGAATAGTTCGCGGGTTTCCTTAGCGACTTTTGTTCAGCTGGCGAAGCTGAGAACATCACCAGTTTGCTTTTGGCGACTCGTGCAAAGCGCACACCATGGCCAGAACGCGAGGGTCTGCGGTACGCCCCGGCACTTGCAGCGTGCCCACAGTAGAGAGACCCGCATTTCGGCATCGTCTCTCCTTTCAGTATGCTGGGACGGCCTGTTCGAGTCGCAATTCGCTATCGGGGGCCTGAAAGGGTTGGCTGCAGAGTGCTGCAGTTAGCGATGAGTGACGATGGAAGATAATCCCGTCTGCCCCCTCCACGATCGTTTTTGTAGTACTTCCGTTCTTTAACGTCAGGATATGCGACATGACGCTTCTCTCTGATGTTTTTCTGGGTGCGCACCTTCGATCCGTCCTCTTGGTCTACCTTCCTGCATCTTTCGTCGCATACTATGTCATCTGGACCGTCTATACTCGAACCCTCCATCCACTAGCCAAGGTTCCAGGACCATTCTGGGCATCGGTTTCACGAACATGGCTCATGTGGCACCATCACAAAGGCGACATTGAGATTGTCGAGCGCGTTCTTCACCAGAAGTATGGCCCCATCATTCGGATCGCACCCGATGAGGTAGTGACGACCGATACCACAGCCATTCCACACATCTACCCGGTTCAAAAGGCCCTACAAAAGACTGATTGGTACAATCCATGGCGACCATCAGGACTAAACAGCCAGCCGGATTTGTTCACGCAGACCAACGAGAAAGCGCACGCAGCGTATCGAAGGATTGTTGGAGGTGTCTATTCCCTTTCCAGCATACTGAAAAACGAACCGAATCTGGATGCGACCTTGGAACTCTTTCTTGAACGGTTGGGTAGCTTCGCCGATAGCAACGAAGTATTTGACTTTGGTCTTTGGCTCGAGATGTGAGTTACAAATTAGCTTTCACCGATTTCACAGTCTAACTTGTGAATAAGGTACTCGTTTGACAGCGTCGGAGTCGCCTTCTTCGGTCAAGCCTTTGGTTTTCTCAAGGACAGCATCGATTACAACAACTACATCCACTCGGTCCATCTTGCAATGCCATTTCTTACCCTTCTGACAGTCACTCCGTACTACGTACGACCGTTTTTACTTTTGGTCGCTGTGTGCATCCCGAGCTTACTGAAGGCTGTCCTGGCTGTGGAGGATATCAAGAAGACTGCGATTATAGAGACGAAGACGGCTACCGAGAGAACCCTTGAAGTGACGGGAAAGCGACCCGACTTACTTTCTCAGCTTCTGGCGATTGTGCAAGAAAAGGGAGAGAAGGTCAACTACTCGCACAGAGAGATCACATCGGACATGTGGGTTGCAATGTATGTGTACTGAAAGAACAGCTACCGTGGAGTATCATGCTGACTGTTATTAGCATGGCTGGAGCTGATAGCACGTCCATCGCAATGCGCTCCGTTTTCTACTTCTTGATGAAGAACCCCGAGAAACTGGAAAAGGCGCGCGCAGAAGTCGATGCGGCCTTTGAGAACGGTACCCTCTCATCACCAGTACAGTACAGTCAGGTATCTTCTCTTCCATACCTCGTAGCGACTGTAAAGGAAGCCCTGAGATTATTCTCTCCATTCTCGGTATCGATGCCTCGATATGCTCCAAGCGAAGGAATCACTCTGTGTGGGAAATACATCCCAGCAGGCTACACAGTTGGAATGAACCCTTCAATCGTTTCGCACGACAAAGACGTATTTGGAAAAGATGCGCTAGAATTCTTTCCCGAGCGATGGCTGCAGAGTGAAGATCGTACGCGGGCGATGGACAAGACAATCCTAGGTTGGGGTGCTGGGACACGCACATGCGTTGGCAGGCCCGTGAGTTCGCCGTGATCACATAGTAGGAAAGTACTGACAATACACAGCTCGCTTTGACACAAATCTACAAAGTAACTGCCGAGGTATTGCATCGATTCGACTTTGAGATGGCACATGACAAGCCATGGAAAACGCACAATGCTTCTTTCAACGTCCAAACTGGTGTTGAGTGCAGGTTCAAGCGAAGAGGTTCGACTACACCTTAGTCGATCAGATATAGTCAGTATTGCGGTTACACATGCAAGACCGTCGCAATCTAGAGTATAGACGAACCCGGATACGCGTAGTTATCGCCGCAGTCGAAATGCACATTCAGAAGTTGTATGCAGTGTACTGCGCTTTTCATCTCATGTGCGATTAGTCCTTGAAAGACCGCTTTTAGCAGCTTTTGGTGTTATGGTTGCCAAAATCAATGAGAGAATCCTTTTAGAGAAGACGCCGACAATAACCTAGTTGAAGATGCATTGTCTCTGGCGGTCGGCTTTTGCTTCCCCAAGAAGAGACCTCGGGATGCAGGGTTCGGTGTTTTACCCAATCAAAAGTCATCATGACGTCAACCTCTGTTCATGGTCCCATGTGCATTCTCAAAACTTCGCCATTCGAGACGCCGATAACTTTTCCCAAACGGCGATTATTATCGGCGACTTCGACAAGTAACTAAGACTAAAAGCAAGGATAGAGTTCATATCTCCAAGGCCTTACCAGTCGTAGCACCAGTCAACACTGAGAACCGATATCACCCAAAACACAACACAACATGGACGCGCTTCCTGTGAACAACAAAACGGCCGGTGAGCCTGAGAGTGCATACAACAACACACTTGAAACTGGTGCTGGTATGACTCAGGTAAGCATAATTTCGCTCGTATAGTGACTACGCTAACCATTCGTACAGAACTTCGCGCCAGTCAAGAGGATATGCGCTCACCTCAACGCCTTCCACGCATACGCTCACGACCCTAAGCGCGATGCAGTCGAAGCAAACCACTACTGCGCGCACCTGAACGATGAAGTACGCCAATGCATCCTCTACGACTCGCCCGAGAAAGGCGCGCGAATCATCGGCATCGGTAAGTATCCTACATCCTCAACCGCAAAATCTCATACTAAACCAACCCCAGAGTACATGATCTCTCCCAAACTCTACTCAACCCTCGATGCCGAAGAGCAAAAGCTCTGGCACTCCCACGTCTTCGAAGTAAAGTCCGGAATGCTAATCATGCCGCGTCCAACGGGCGTACCAGAAGCCGCATGGGAAATAGCCGAGAACAAAGAGATGGAAGAAGTCGTCGAGTTATACGGCAAGATCTACCATCTCTGGCAGACTGACCGTGGCGACAAATTGCCGCTTGGACCCCCGCAACTGATGACGAGTTATACGGCCGCGGATCAGATGCCGGATTTTGAGAATAGGTTGAAGGAGAGGGATCAGCGCTTTGATAGCGATTATCAGAGGAAGAAGGGGGTGAGGGAGTATATTGAGGTGCCGAAGATTCATGAGAATGCTGATGCGACGTGGGCTAAGGGAGGCGTTGGTCATTAGATGGGGATCGTTGGAGGGATTCGCATTACGGGCGAGGCATTCATGAGGAGGTGGCGATGCATGGGTAGGGTTTGGTAAGATGCGGAACGGGTGTTAGCAGGGATGAGCCAGAGATGTTTTCGATGATAAGTTGACACACTTCCAAGTATATCATCAATGTTCAGAATCAAACTTGTGTAAAGGAAGTAATGTTCTTGATTAATGACTGTACTAAATGCCTTTTCAGGCCCAACAACGCTGTGATAGCCATACATTAACATACATAATAGAGGGGTTCCACCCCACCCCTCGAGCCCAATGAATTAGCAGTAAAATATACCGTAAGTGTCAATCAAGAAAACAATATAACAAGTACCTCAGCCCATCTCCTCGATCTTTGAAGTTTAGAGCCAGCTCTGTAACCATGAAATGCAACCACCCTGTCAATCCGACATATGGACAATAAAAAACTCGCAATATTCAGGGCCAATATACTCCACCCATTCTCTATCAAGATCCTCCTTGACCATCAAGAAACTTGTTCATACTCATATTCTGTCTGGTTTGCTCATCGGTATACCTTTGCCTGAAGTTTGGCGGTCTCCGCGTTGCACGATCATCAGAGTTATCTGGTGGACTGTTACGCGATATTCTGTGCGAAACAGTCGTTGAGGGGCGTGTGGTCATCGATAGATTCCCCATAGAAAGGGTGACAGCTGGATTCGGGTCCGAACCTGTGGGTCTCGATCGCCGACCGGTATTCTCTCTACGCTGATCAAGAGAGGGTAGATTGACAGGCGCAGGTCTTGGTCTCCACCCAGTACGTGTCTGATCCTCTCTCGTATCGAGGGACGCCAAAAATTGTTCGTTTTCCGTGTTAACAGCGGCAAACGATGGCCGTTGTTCGCCGCGCCCGACATTTGTGGGCGGCTGCATGGCATAACCAGTCTGCGGATCGTCATATCCATAAGTTGAGGACAGCGGCGGGCGAGGTTCCAGGACTCGAGGCACTTTTGTGTCACTTCTTTTCGGGTTCTGTGGGCGAGATTTCTGTGGGCGAGGTTTCGTGACCTGAGGCACTTTTAGGTTACTTTCTTTAGGGTTTTGTGGGTTGTATTCTTCAAACTGTATGCCCATTCTCTTTGAGTTCAGAGGTTCGCGAGGTTTCTCTGTGCGAGGTTTCTCTGTGCGAGGTTTTGTGACCTGAGGCACTTTTAGGTTACTTCCTTCAGGGTTTTGTGGGTCGTATTCTTCAAACTGTATGTCCATTTTCTTCGAGTTCAGAAGTTTGGGCTGTGGTGAGCCATATGATAGTAGGGTTTCTGGCTTCACCCACGTTATACTTGCTGGAGTCTCCGGCCTCCCAGAAGATAGCGCCGTCTCCTTAACCACCCTCTGCTCTTTGTAATTTCTCTGATAGGCAGCATGGTGGTTCGCTTTCTCACGCAGCTTAGCCTTCAGATCTGGGTCATGTTTCGCCCCTTCTTGATCGACTATCCTCTTCTGCGCATAGTAAATGCGTTCCTTGGCATTTCTCTCGTCCTTTTCCTTACGCAGGTCAGCCCCCAGTTCTAGGTTATGTTTCGCCTGTTCAGCGTTGTCTGATCTCTGTTGTCGCCTTTTTTGGTTGATGGCTGCTTTCTGCTCTACGGTCCGCTTCGGCCGAGGTTTTGCTGGTGCCTTATTCTTATCTTGTGCCCCACGCCTCTTGTTCTCCTCCCTATCGTCTCCTCCAGAGCCCCTGCCCTTGCCTGGTAATCCGCTCATGATGTATACTTAAGTAAGAGAGGCTTGGGTTTCCAATTGTGTAAGGACAGGGATACAATTGCGGCCGTTGAGCGTAGTCGTGTCTCGTGGAGCTGGAATGTTGATCAAGTTTGTTGTCGATATAGTCGAATGATGCTGTAAATGGTAGTGTGTGTATGCGTTGTCTGTGAGGTCTAAGGAAGAGTAAGTGTAAGTGCTGGGGCGGCTACTTATAGCCACCAATGCATCGTGGGTTCTTCACAGGACGAAGCATTGCGTGCTTGCAGTATGTGATTGTGTATGCGTGATATTGATATCCAGTCGTTCAACTCTGAGCCTAGGTCCCATATCTGCAATGTCTACATTGTACATTGAAGAGTATATCGGAAGGTTGCGTGATCCTTATGCTACATTAGCTTCCGCACAGAGCCACAGGTGAGGGGTTATACCGAATCTCGTTCGCTCTTCACACATCAGGCCTTTGACAGGCGAACCAGTGACTGGATAGGTGAAGGCATCGGTATGAGCATGCGGATCGCGCGCAAACACTGTCGTATCCGTAACTCAGTCCGTTTCTAGAGGCGGGCCCAGAAGTTGTTCGATACTGAAGGCGCCCGTAATGACGGCAATCGTCTTGGCCAGCATCTCATGTTGACTCTGTTGTGTTTTGCACGACCTCGATGCTCGCAGGATCTCTCTTCTCGCGCCTCATCAGCTTGCCCAACACATCCTTTTCCTTATCGCTGTCTTCCGCATCGCTCGCGCTGTCCTTGTCGCTATCCGCGTTCGGGTCTTTTTCTTCGAGAACACCTAGTCCGAGGTCCTAGACACTGTCAGCAGCGCCCTACGATACCCTCAAGATCCATTACTCACCATCTCAATATACGGCTCGCCCTCGTCCTGTCCCTCTACAGACTCCAGACTCTTCAGCGTCCCGGCCTTCTTCTGCGCCTCCAGCTCCTCGTTCGCAGCCTTCAACTGCGGCAGAAAGTCTTTGAGGAAGCCGCGAATGTCTGGTCCTAGATCTTCGTTGCCCAACTTCATAATTGGCTTCGTGCCTCTGTTGGCGCGGAGGTTTACGACACCGTCTTGTGATCGTAGCTCCTCGAGCTCCATCTCTGTGTCCTCGCCATCATCCTCTTCCTCCTCGCTTGAGCTCTCGTCGCTGCTGGGCTCTTCGCTCGATTCGGACAGTTCGCTGTCGCTGTCTGAGGTACCAAAGTCGCTTGCATTCGTGGTAGAATCGTCTGCAGCGTTTGTCGACGCGAGGGCGGAGTCGGAGGATATCGAGGGCGGCGAAGATTCGGGCTCGTTGGAGAAGCGCACGCGCTTGCTGCGGTGCGCGACGGCTTCGTGGACGTATGGCGACATAATTACTTGGTGGTGTTCGATATGGGTAATCTTAGGAGAGACGGTTAAGGACGTCTACGCGTTTGGAAGTGGGTTACAAAAGTCTGGGGGAAAAAGTTGGGCAAGATTCAAAGTTTCGCGCAGACGGGTGCAGATCTCGCGCCAGGGTAGCGAGCCGGAGAAGACCCTTGGCTACGTCACCGCCCTCTCCAGCATTTGGCGCCGACAGCCAATGCCAACCAGATATGCACACATGACATGTTCAAGTACATCTATAACAATGGGATATCCCGTCAGATGCTCCACAGTCCAAGGCGTGCGGCTGCAGATTGGCCTGAGGCAGAAGCGACTCGTTGGTGTCAGCAGGGGTCGTGAAACGGCGTCTTGAAACGTAGTTAGAGCGGGCGCCTGCATGGCTGACTTGTGCTGTCCGAGGGGTTAAGCCTCTTAAAGCTCCAGCTGGCCTCGTACATATCCGACCTCACCCCTTCTCGTCAATCTTTACAGTCTCGCTGCTGTGATCCTTCTCTCTACCTGTTCTCATAGCTTTTGTGACGGTGTCTGCAAGAGTCGGTGTGTCGCTGCCCC